TTTTGACAAATAAGTGGATGATTTCAAAGGGATTTACTTTCTGTTCACACGTTGAGCTGCTCTGACCCAACGGGATATCTTTTACCAATTTATACAATAAAATCTTATATCATCATAGCATCTGGGAAAAAAAAAAAAAAAAAAAAAAGCTTGACTCCATGCTAAAGAAGATTATCTCGGACAAATGACTCAACAAAACGACTCCATTTCGTAAGCGCGGACTGACTCAGAGAAAAGTGCCCAGAAAGTTTCAGTCTGACATTCGGCTTCGTGTTCCTAATGGGAACCAGAGGGAGACTTGTAAAAGGAAACACTTATTTCCTGTAGGACCAGAGAGTGACGTACATGAGAGTGAGCTTACTGCAGCTTTAGCGAGCCGGAATGTGACATCAGCAACTGGATCCCGGATGAAGGATAAACCACGCAACCGACACAAACACACACTCACAAACATCAGAGCCGGACCAAGACGTGGTTGAGGGTCAGTGGAACACAAACAGAGGAAGGGAACCGACTTCTTTAGGCGTGCCACCCACTTCGCCTCCTTGACTCGTGTTCTTCAAGGGTTTTATGGACGGCAGCAGTGGGGGAAACACGTGGTCCTCACAGGGAACATAATCACTTCAAGAGTTCTTAAATAGGTGTCCTTGTATCTCAAAAGACTGAGGAGGGTGCTAACGTGACAGATGCACTTGAGAATACTTTTCAGCGTCAAGCTTTTGTATTTCCATCCTCGGCAAAGCTATTAAAGCAACATTATGAAATCACACACACACACACACACACATTGCAACCAGCCGGAGAAAAGTTTAGATTAGATCCTGTCTGTAGAAGAGAACGGTTGCTAATTTGGTTATATGAAAATATCACTGCCAGTGATTAAGCACAGCCGTTGACTGAAACAAGGATGTCATTAGATTTTGGATTCATGCGAAAATCATCAGATTGGGAAGAAGGATGGAGGTCTGACACTGTATCTTAGATAGCACAAATGAAAGCAGTTAGATCAAATAAAATTGAAAGTTGGATTGGACTTGTTTTAAAGTAGTCATGGACTTTCTAAACTAAATCAGGCAGACCTAATAGATGGACTTGTAGTATGAGTTATTTTTGCAGTCTTTGATGTTCTCTCGCAAACAGAGCCATCCACATTTCTGAGTGAATATGTGAATCGCTTTTTGGTGCTTTAAGAAAAATGATTTTAATAAGTGTTTCTTTTCATGTTAGTTTGGGAAAATTAAAAAAAGAAAAAAAAAAAGAAAATGAGGAAGATTTCAAGAGGAGGCCCTTTTCAAGAACAGCAGGCTGAGACAGTCATCACATTCCTGAAGGGAGTTTGGTGTATTGCCAACAAGGTGCAGAACACTATGTTACATAGTTTGAGATGTTCTAACACTGACGTTGCTATGGAGAAAGCTTGAGATGCTCCTCTTCTTTCTGCTGATAATGCAGCATGCTTCACACGTTTCCACAACAATGTGAGTCTCTTACCCATGTCCAGAACTGACAAGCATTTCCTTTCCTTATCTAGAGAAGTCATTCAGAACATATGAGACGGATGTTTATTTTTAATGTTTTTTTTTTTTTTCTTTTCACTTGATGATGAAAACCAGGCACATTTGTAACCAAAATTCAAACAGGCCTTGAAGTTTCAAATTAGTTACCACACATTCATACCTGCTGAGACCTATTCATGCCGTTCGTAGTTACTGGTAATTTAGTCCTGGCTTTCCTGGAAGGCTGCTTGTTGTTTTGTTGGGGTTTTTTTTTTCCAGGAGCTGATGTATCTTCAACTAAAAATAGGCGTTTTAGTTGACCCATCCAATCTCTCCTGTTTTTTTCATTATATGTTCTTTTTGCAGTCTATATTCTGTTGTTTACAACAATTTTCGCACATTGTGAGATTGGCACCGATCTCACTAGCTTGAATATTGTGCTCTAAATCGTATATGCAAACAAACACGTCTACAGTGTTTCTTCAGTGCTTCCTATTGATTTTCTTATTTTGTTTTCTTAATTGCTGTATCAGTTTGTGACAAAGTGTCGACACGTTCTTGCCAGCGCAAGAAAGCGACGATTAAAAAGCGACGATTTGGAAAACCTGAAAAGCTGGCCTTCTCCCCGGCTTTGTTTGTAACTCATGGAGTCATGTCCTTTTTTGGACCTGTTACCCTTTTCTCATCCAAAGTGGCTTTCAATGCAGCACATACTCTTAGGATGCCTTTGTTTTACTCACAAATGACAGACATTTAGTTACTGCCGGAAAGCAGAATTTAAAGAATGTAGAGAAGTAAACAAGAAAATGCCTGGGGCATAATCTGCTGATGTGAACTATGATAGTTCCCGACTACTGGTCGAGTTCTTTGAAGTGATCACATTTCCAAGGAGACAAACAGAACAGTCCGACTGAAGCCTTGCTTCCAGGCGTCTGTACCAGAGATTTCAGCAAGTATGAGATTGTTAGACCACCAAGGCTGCATTTCTGCATTTTAAGCATTGTGATGAAGTTATGGTGCTGGGCATATTTGTAACCCTTGGTGAAGGTCTGTAAAAGCCTTAAAAAAAATTCAAAGGTTTGGCTTAGAAAAATCCAAAGTTTTTATCTCAAAACCGTCAGTGGGGAGAACGTTCTTTGGTCACAGAAATGACAGCAAGGCAGAGTTATTGGCACCTTAGTTCTCATTAGATTGAGTGTTGTTTTATTCTCTAAATAAAACAACACTCTTCTCCTGCAGCATTCAACAGGGCTGCAGCATTCAAGTATCTTTGACATTTCTTCTTTCCACAATCTCTCAATTGTGGAAAGAATTGTTCAAAATCATTAGTCCTCTTCTCCTTCTCCTACGTTCCCCCCACAGGTGTCCTGTAGGATTTAGCATTGCAGCAGCCATGAAAGATGGTTGATTTTATACCTTTCTGAGTTGATTAGCCCAGGTGAGTAAGTTCATTTTCCTTCACACAAAGACCCATTTTCACTTTACCAGCAGGGCCCAAAAAGTTTTTTTTTTTTTTTTTTTTTTTTCATGATGCCAGGTTACATGGGTACTGAAAGCAGAACAGACCTAAGCATCACTGATCCTCTACCATACTCAACAGAGGGGGTTGATACTCTGCCATTTCCAATATTAATCCTTGGTTTCATGTCAGACCGCATCTCATCTGGAGTGTTTGTTGCTGCAACGCTATATATGTCATCCGAACAAAGCATCCGATTCCTCCAAATAGAGTTTGGCAAACAATGATGTTCATAACAGGACAGCGAATGATTTGAGCATCCTATTAAATATTCTGGTATTTCAAAATAGGCTTCCCCACATTTGTTGTCTAAACTTTTTATTCATCTCTGCATAATGAGTTGTAGATAAACACTAGATTACTGAAAAGATGTCATGTATTCTGAAGAAGACACCTTCTCCTGTTAATACAGTTACCAACTTTGGCAAGAATCCCATAGATGCATTTCTTGTAGCCATCTACCAGTTTGACATCTTTCTTCCAATCACTTTGAATTGTGAGGTTATTCCATGTACTGCCTGGTTTTGTGATAAAGAGGCTGCTGGCTTCTTTAGTGACATTTTAAGGTATTAAAATTGTGTTCTGCCGTTTGGATGACCGCTTAGTTGGTCTCATTTTCCAGCAGATAGTGTTTTTTTTTTTTTGTTGCCATTATGAGCTGTTCACACTTTAAGGCAGCATGGTCATACATATGACACCTTGGTCGTTCAAAAAAAATGACTAGATTCAAGAAGTTTCAAACTACACAACATTGGAGAATAAAAAAAATCATGATGAAAGGTAAAGTACAACTCAGATGCAAAGTAAATTAATTTTCAATAAACTTTATTTTTGCCCCAATTTCCCCCCAAAACATGACATACAAAAGAAGGTGATCGGAATTGAACATTTCCTAGTGTCAATACCGCAACATTTACACAATAAATAAAAAAAAAAAAAGAAACATGTATAAATAAAAAAATAAATAAAGACATTATGTGCCAAAAAAATAAAGACTCTTCTGAATTGGCAGATGGCTTTCACAACACTGGGTGTTTTTGGGGAACACATGTAGGCAATACTTGCATTCCAGGTCACAGTTTTAAGGACACAACTCTGGATCAAGAAAGCAATGTAAACCAGAAGGATTACAGTACAGTACAACAGAATACAATGTTTTCTTTTTTTCCACTGTGGATATTATTGGGCTATATACTTCTAACAGTTGTTCTAAAAGCTTATACCAGGTAGTGAGAGTGTAGTGCTATTGGATTTACTTTTGCTACTTGGCTCGAAGTGCAAAAGTAAACTCCGCCTTTAAAAACCCATCTGAAATCTTGCATGTAGCCAGCTTGACATTCAACAAAGGGTTGTTATTGCACTATACAGACATCCCTCAGAAAGGCACTTTTATCCAAACCTCCACACCCTCAGGTTCCCAAAGAACGCAGCCTCGTTTCCTGGCACTTGTGTAGAGGACACACATTCACCTATACTGCAAGTGAATTTAAAACTGAATTATTGTTTAAAACCGAAACCTTTAATAGTTTTGTTAAAAACGAATAAAATTTAACATGTGCGTAAAAAAAAAAAATGTAGTCAAAGAAAATAAAGCAAATAAAAGTGCAAAACAGTGTTCGTCCCTGTAGCATCTTGTATACCGCATCAGTGAAATTTGCATTGGAAATAAAAAAAAGTGACATTGCAGCAAAAGAAGCAATGACTTAGTTTCGCCTTCATTTAATGAGCCTGAAAATATTGTGCGTGTGAGGTTAAGATCTTAAGTGATCTTTTGTTGGCTCATTTTCAGAAAAAAATAAAATAAAAAATGAATGTGCGCCATATTCCATAAAGGCCAGAAGTCGACTGAGGGTAGGAGGTTCTCCCTCTCAAGTCAAACTATTCTTACATCTGAAAGCAACTCGGCTTTAAAAAAAAAGAAAAAAGATCACAGTTGCAATCTACAGGGAGGGAGAACTTGCTGCTGAAATGCTTTTTTTGGAATTAAAACAGAGCCTCACCGCATTTCAACCACAAGATCAACCCTTTTCATTTGCAAGCGATTTGAACAGTTTTGTTTTAGTGTTTAGGAACCTTTGAGAAACCGTGCCTGCACAGTCAATCAGCTGAACGGCTGCAGGGTCATTGGTGCACAAAGATCCATCGAGAAGCAACGGTTCTGAGTGAGTAAAGGAGAGTTAAGTGGGTCTTCATGTACGCCTTCCATCGTTTCAGACAAGGTACTAATCTCTTCTTTCAGGTATCAAAACCTTCCAGGTGGATACCTTTTGGAGGCAAAAACTGGTAGGCACAAACCCTTCGGGCAGACGCTTCTTTGGGTAACTTCACCACCGCTCAATGTCATCAAGGTCATTCAAACCAATCACCCTGGCAACAGGAGTCCAGGAAAGATTGTCACTCAGTCGAATTGAGCAGGTTTTCAGTTAAAAACAGGCTTCACCTGCCCTCTGCACTGCCTTAACAAAAACAAGTAAACAAAAACGAGCAAAGGCCAAGTAAGGGAAACAAAGAAAAAAAAAACAAAAAACAAAGTCAGTAACCGGTCTGGCTGCTTCTTAAGTATCTGCCACTCAGCCTGTAAGACCGAGAGCTCTGTTCTCAGGCGTCAGTGTGGTGTTGGAGCAGCTGGACCACATATCTGAGTCGGTGACGTAGCTCAGCAGTGCAGCCCATCTCATTTAGCATGCTGAGGAGGTACGTGCACGAGACGCGCTCCCGGCTGATGTAGGTGAGCAGGTAGGCGTCGTCGGACGACTTGCACAGGATGATCTTTGTGTGGTCGGTGTAGAAGTTCACCTGGAAAGAAAGGGTTGAAAGCAGGATTTAAGCAAAGGCGAGACTAACGCTTTTTAACAACTTGCTCCGTTTTAGAATCTGTGAGCGTGCGCCGACCTGCAGGGTGCCATTGTTGAAGAGCATGACAAGAGCATGGTCGGTCTTGACCCACTGAAGCAGCAGAGGAGGGGGTCCGGAGCTTTGCTCCTCACAAGGAAGATCGCCACCCTGAGAGGAATGGAAATGCTTGGTTAGATCGTCTTTGACTCCATTCTGCTAGGTTTACTTTCATTTACAGCCACAGACAAAAGCTCCATACCTCCATCAAGTTCTGTTCCATGTAGTTGGCCATGAGTTCAACAATCTGCTTCTGGCTGCGAAGCTGCTCAGGTAGCGACTGGGTTGGGAATGTGAAGTGTTTGTTGTTGGTCAAGCAGTAGTGAACCGTCCTGTTGGCAAAGGGAATTTTATTAGATAAAATCTTAAAAAAAAAAAAAAAAAGTCAACCCGGATGTTTTTACCACATCATCTGAGCCACTTACTTGCGTTGGTCACAGAGGCTGAGATGCGTTCCCTCATTGAAGAGCACGCCGATGCTTTGGTTGGAGAGCTGGTATCCAAAACCATATTTGTTGGAGTAGTCGACCCATTTTGTGACCCAAAGGAAGGACTGAGGCCGGGACAAGCAAGGCGGGTTTCTGGTAGCTGGGGAGAAAGCGAAGGAGAAACGATCTGGTTAAGATACCTGCCGTTATTTAGAGTCCACAAGTCAGCATCTTACCAACGCCATTAATGCAATAAAAGGTGCACGGCTCAAAAAATGTTGAGATGCTTTAGTCAGCAGGTATTTCAAGGACTTAAATGGCTGAGGGCAAAGGAGGGAGGAAAAAAAAGTCTGAGTGGAAACGAATTAGCTCACACGAACTCCTGTTTACGTTAATGATTTGGCATCACTACCCGATGCTTCACGTTACGGTAAGCAGCTTTTCGTTTCTTTGCTACAAATCGAATACCAATTATAGACAGCTTTCCAAACTCACCTGCAGGCATGTTGGCCAGGCAGTTCTTCAGCTCCTTCATGGCAGCTTCAGCCACAGCAGCAGGAGTCAGGACATCCTCACAGGCTGGTGGGGAAAGCAAGAATATGCCCATTACAAAATAAGCAAGAAAAGTGAGAAATGTCAGGAAATCAGACTTGAACAAAAACCTACGTTCGGTGCTGCTGGCCATGGTTCCCTTGAAGGAGCGGGAGATTGACTTTCTGGACTCCTCCTCAGCAGGAGTTTGTTCGAGAGGCATGGGACTGACCAGCTGATCACCAGGAGAAGGTCCCTGAAAGGAAAACATCACGATTAATGACACATTCAGCATTAAAAAATACAATACAGATCGCAGAGAATGAAGGAATAATCCTAGGTTAGAGAACGGCGACTGCAGACATGCTCTAGAACGAGAATGAGTCAATGCTTGCAAACTCTTCCAGCTCCTGCAGCAATGTTGCAACATCCACTGCATCGTAAACGATTGGCACGTCATTGGCTACGGTTTTTTACTTTAAGCTTGCAAATGCAAGATGCAAAGAGGTGAAAATGGCTGTAACACGCAGTGCCATACGAGCGCGGTAATTTGTTTGGAATCATCAGTCACAGTAACTGAATTCAAGTTAATCATTCCAAGTACATTGACCAAGGAAACATCCAAGTTCTTAGAACAAAACAATGTGGCTCTATAAATAGAAGCTGGACCAGTCAGTTTAGGGGATGGGCCAACTGAGCATCCTGCTGCTGAGGCATTTAGTCTTTAGTGGTAGATAACCATCTTTTCTAATGAGCACATCGTGTGCATGTGTTCTCACATAAGAGTGTTTAAACGAACCACAAAATCAGTTTCCCCCTTATATAATTTAAAGAAAAACAAAAAGCCCACAGTAGCCCCGACAATAAGCATCCAGCACAAGTCGACCGTGGCAAATTTCTTACTTGAACACCTCTAACAATAACTTGTATGCAAATACCCAAAACTTTATATGGTCACCTTGTGTTTACTCTTAATTATCTTTTTTGGTGAGTGCATTTGAAACAATTTTGAAAAAGAAACTTCCCTTCACATTAAAAGAAATCTACTGTTCCCCACTTTCACACCATGTATGATGAGGTCTTAACATGTGATGCTGTGCCAGCTTTGAGTTTCAGCTGCCAGAATGACTTGCCAGTTCTTCTCCTTTTAATTAAACCAGGTTGTTATTTGCTTGGAAGAGCAAGGGAACATTTAAATCACACACACACAAGAAAAAAAAAAAGGCAATAAGACGTACCTCATTGGCTCCCACTGTTTTGTAGCTTATCTGCCTGTTGATGGAACACTTAACGATGCCCGACACCAGCTTGGAAATGTCTTTGTCGTCTTTTTCCTCGCATGGAATCTTCTCTGCTGTGAAGAGAAAAGCAGTTCTAATGAGCCACGGCCCTTTGAAAGGCTTCAAGCCAAAAGCCTGAATGCAGTCCAGTAGGTTCATTAGCTTTTAAGGCTATATTTAAAACTGCTCGGTGACTGTTTTACCTTTTGCCTTTTTCTTGCCAAAGAAGCTCTTTGCCATTTTAGTGAAGAACTTCTTGGCAGGGCTTGGCGGATGGAGCTCTGGTACCATTACACAGCTGCTGGGAGGGAGTTTGTCAGGGGTGAAACCCTGAAAATAAAAAAAAAAAACAAAAAAAAAAAAAAAAAAAAGCTTAATCTTTGTCATGGAACTACAAAGTCGCTAATCATGAGATGATGGCACAACGTTATTATGCAAACTGCGACAGTGCTGGGAAATGACATACTTTGGAGAAGAATTCATGGTTGAGAATTTGATCCAGAGTCAGTCTGTCGCTGGGGTTTTTCTGCAAGATGCTAGAGATGAGTTTCTGTGCAGCGGGGGAAATTGTGGAGGGGAGAGTGTATCGGACTTCTTTTATACACTTGTACGTCTCTTTCAAGTCGAGCGTTTCAAAGGGAGGGTTGCCGCACATCAGCGTGTACCTACGAGGACGACACCAGAGACGTCATTGGTCAGTTTCACGCCAAAATGATTTCGGTAGGCGAGGTCTAACGGAGCCCACTAAACCAAACTCACATGACGCAGCCGAGCGACCAGACGTCCGACTCCGTGCCGTGGCCCTGCCTGTTGAGCACCTCGGGGGCCAAGTAGTTTGGAGTTCCGCAGATGGTTCTGAGAAAACAGGTGCATGTTTGAGTACCGAGTAGAATTCAAAACAGTTTCTATTATGCAACAGTGACAAAGAGGACGAGCCGAAGTCTTTTGTTTTTTCCTGCTACACTCATTCTGGTATGCCACAGGAAGATCACTAAAGTACTGAAACTCTGATCTAAGCTAACTGCCACTTGGAAACTGGTTCAGGCAGGTACTTGCAGGAGGAAAGCAGTGGGAGGAGGAAACTGCTTAGTAACTGAGGTAATGGTTTTTAGGTTAAGCTGCTTTGAGCAAAAAAAAAAAAAAATAGCCAATTTGGTCTTGCCGGGAAAAAAGTTACTCAAATGCTCTCCCAATTATTTTTAGTATTCAAAGATTTTGTTTTAAATCAAGCACTCACTTTTTCCTCTGTTCAACCGTCTCCAACTTGGCAGCGAGGCCAAAATCGCCAAGCCGCAACTCCATGTTCTCGTTGATGAAGAAGTTACCTGAAAAAGGGACAAATGCCTTTGTTACATCAGCATTCCACAGAGGACGTGCGTGTGACGAACGCAGCATCAGATTCCCGGGATGCCTTAGCGGAGTTTCATTCACGTACCTAGTTTGAGGTCTCTGTGCAGGATCCCCCGGTTGTGGAGGTACTTCAGTCCGGATATGATCTGTCTGAGGTAATATCGCACCTCTGGCTCCGTCAGAGTGCGTCTCTCCTTCCAAATGTGTGCCAGGGACTAAAGAGACAAAGTGACGAGGAGACAGTCAAACCCTGCGCTCCTTCAAATGCACACATTCATTACGGCATCTGTGTGAGAGGTCAAAGTTCAGACAACTGCTTGCAAAGAATAGCAAGTTGGTTGTTTCTTTAACTCTCTGGGGCTTTTCAATAAGTTGCTTGTCAAATACCAAAACTGTAGCTATGCTTTCATACAACTCTGTGCGATACAGTTTTGTTAGATATTCAAATCCAACTTTGATGCATAAAATACAGTATTCTTGTCAAGTTATTTTCTGATGGATTCAGAGACTACAGATGGGACTGTAGTGTTTTCCTCTCAATCTCTTCAACTATACCCCTCAGGTAACATGCACAAATGAAAGCTCTTTATCTGACAAAATTTGAGAAGCAAAATTGGAATTTGAAAGGAATTGATGAAGGTTTGAAGAAGAAGGAAAAAAAAAGAGCAAACTATTTGATTTAAGAAACTGCACCAAATCATTCCGGAGAATTCCAGCATCTCACCTTGCGACTGCAGAGCTCCAGGAATATGTAGATGTTTTCATGGTCCTCAAAATAATGGGAGAATTTCACTACATGCTTGTGCGACAGGGACCTGTGCAGGTCGATCTCATTCGTAATCTGGTGAAATGTAAATACAGATGAGTTAGTGAACACGTTCCAGACAGATTCAAGATTACGCAATGGACTCCGGCATAATGAGACGAGTGTACCTTTTCCCTCTGGTGTGGTTTGGAGACCCTGCTCTGAGGAATCACCTTCACAGCATACATTTTGTTGTTGGACAGGTCTGTCATCTCATAGCATCGTGCAAAGCCACCCTTTGGAAAGCACAGTCACGGGTTAAAATGGTTGAAACCCTGCAATGGTCATAAATAAATCACCCTCCATGGCAAAGCCTTTCAGCTGGGGATCAATAGCTTTGGACTGAGCAATTAAAGCGATTCGCCATCTGTAATTTAGCAGCTTCATAGAAACAAGGCCGATCTACTCAGTGGATCGTTTCCGTACGCAAGTCAAGAGGCGCGTTTGGGTCCGAGTCAGACAATCGGGTGTTTATTGCTGCATCTTCTTGATGCGATCATGTCTCCACATGCTGGGGGGGGGGGGGAGGGGAATTGATGAAGCACACCGCACTGCTGCTGCATTCATTAACCGTGAAAGTGACGGAGAGGTTTCCAGCTCTGCGGCAGGAAAAGGGGTAGGGGGGGGAGCAGGCGGCAAAGGGGGAGTCTGGCTCACGGCCCTCCGCCGCAGCACATACATGACATGATGGAGCAACACGTTGAGGGGGAAAAAAAAAAAAAAATCAAAAAAAGGCTTCTTACAGTGTGACTACCTTAGGGGGAATGAGACAAAAAAGAAGCCATATAAGGTCAAAGAAACCGCGAGGAATGTTCTGCTCAGTCATTCCTGAGATTGCATTAGGAAAAAAAAAAAAAAAAAAAAAAAAAAAGGGGGTTGCAGGGGGGGGCGGGGAACCCCTGGTTTTCTTTTGTTCTTTATAAAACCGCC